TTATTGGATGCTCGATAAACTCTTATCACAATCCACACATCCATCTATTGTGTCAAGCACATTTGTACATTTGTTGCCCTCATCATTCTCAAAGCATTTGCTTTCTACTTGCGCCCTTGGTATCAGCTCCTCATTTTCCCCCTTCTCTCCCCGCTCCTCCCTTCCTCATGAACCCTTGATCATTTATAATTTATTATTTTGTCATATCTTACACTGTCCAACGTCTCCCTTCAGCACTCCGTCCTTCAGGGAAGAGGTTATATGTAGAACCTTGTAATCAGTTCCCCTTTTCTGCCCCACCTTCCCTTCATGCTCCCCATATTGTCACTCTCACTACTGGTCCTGAAAGGACCATCTGACCTGAATTCCCTGTGTTTCCAGTTCCTATCTGTACCAGTATACATCCCCTGGTCTAGCTGGATTTGTAAGGTAGAATTGGGATCATGATAGTGGGAGGATGGGGGTTGGGTGGGGAGGAAGCAAACATTTAAGAAGTAGAGGAATATTGTATGTTTCATCGTTGCTACACTGCACCCTGACTGGCTCATCTCCCCGTGACCCTTCTGTAAGGGGATGTCCAGTTCAGGCCTGTCAACTTGACACATGTGGACAACCGTTTAACCAACACTGTGCAGCACAAATACTCACAAAAGGTGAGTTTTATCTTATAACAAGAGAAATGTCGTCCTCTTAACAAATGGCCAACTATTTTCAAGAGTAGTAGTCCTAGATTTTAGTGCAGGTGCACATTTTCTAGAGATATGCTTACTTTTTTATTTGGTTAAGAACCTGACTGATTTATACACATTTAAACAGCAGAATCTTATTATTTATGCTTATCTATGGATACAAACACTAATGGCAACCTGTTATAAACAGGTTATAACAATAGATCACTGCGTTGTTTCATACAGTTAATTGTTTAAGGAAGCACATTTCGTATAGGTGAAAATGGTGATTTTGTAAGTCAATATCTTATATGGTGAAAGATGACTGAAGAAATAGCTCCAGTTTCTAGTTTAAAGCAGGACTTCAAACTAGTTCATTCTAAGTTCATCCCCTGCTGCGAATTGTATTTCTTTTTTTTTTTTTAATTTATTTTTTCTTTTAAAAAAATCATTTTATTGGGGGCTCATACAACTGTTATCCCAATCCATACACACATCAATTGTGTAAAGCGCATTTGTACATCGTTTCTCAAAACATTTTCTCTCCATTTAAACCCCCGACATTAGGTCCTCATTTTGCGAATTGTATTTCTATCCAGGATATAATGACTCAAAATCTACATTTTAACAAGGTCCGCAGATGATTCTTATGTGTATAAAAGTATCACCTGGCAATATGTAAGACTCAACTTAGGCATCTAGTTACAATGTGATTCTAATTCAAAGTACGGGGTAAAAAGACAAACCCTCAGTTGTGGATGTTTCAGGGATCTGCTTTAAAAGGTATCTTAGGGTGTTGTTACCTCTATACTCAACAACTCAATGCTACTCAGCACAGTAAGTCTGGGTTTTTTTAAAAAATTGAGTTTTGTTCCACATTTTTCTTCCATTCTAACCATCATCCCTGTGGTTAGAATTGTGTTAATAGCTGGATGTTATCTAGTTCTTTGGTTTCCAGTCTTAACTGTGATCTGTGTGGGCCATTAGTCCTGTGGACTAATTTATTTTTTGAGTCATTTGAGTCTTTTTTGAGTCAATAGTATCATATTCTCTATAGGAGTAGAGACTAATAGTTGTATATTAAAAGTCCATTCACAAGCTTTTAGGACTCCCTATACTACTCACTAAACTAAGATGTAAAACACTGTTATCCTTATGTACTATGTGTTAAATAAGTTGTACTCTAAGACTATTGTCCCAAGTCTTTCGACCCAATAAACTAATCCTGCAAATTGTTGGGATGTGTGTAGGAAGCCTCTCAAACTGTGGTTTGTTATATACAGATATATATGCAGTAGACACAAGGTGTATATATGTATACGTACAGTAATTATATGATATTTCTGTCACTGTAAATTGAAACTCCTATGGGTCAGAATCAGTTTGATGGCAGTGGTAGTGATTTTGCTATTTGTGCTTTTGTTATGTTCAGTAATTGCTTCTTAAAACTTATGCTGGACAGCATTGCCCCTTCATTTTCTTCTGATAATTTTACGGTTTTGTTTGCACATTTAGTTCTTTCGTACTTTTGCATTTGTTGTGTGTGCTGTGAGGCATGGATCCTGTTTCATTTTTCTGCATGTAGCAATTCCATTTTCTGGCAACATTTGTTGAAAAAAATCTTTCCACCCCTTTTGAATAGACTTGGTAACCTTGCCAAAAACTAGTTGACTGACTCTAGATTAGTGAATTTTTTCCTGTTCATTCTATTCATTGGTCTATATGTCTATGGTTATTCCAGCAACAGGCTATTTAGATTACTGGAGTTGTATCTAAAAGCCCAAACCCAAGGGTATCGAGTTGACTTCAACGTTATCTAGGGTTTCTCGGGCTCTTTACAGGAGATGTCTTCTACTTTCTCTCTTGGAGCAGCTAGTGGGTTTGAACTTCTGACTTTGCCATTAGCAGCCCAACACTGAGGACACCTTCATATTTTAAAAAATCTGAACTGTGAGCCCTCCTAATTTGTGGTTGTCATTCAGGATTGCTTTAGCTTCTTGAGGGTACTTGTCATTTCATATAAAATCGAGGATTGGTTTTTCCATTTCTGTAAAGCAGGCTGTTGGAATTTTTGGCATAGAAATTCTTAGCATATGTGTATAACAGATTTGTAGCATTTTATGTTGGAAAGAACTAAAATGTCTGAGCGGGAGGATTAATACATAAATGTTGGTATGTTCATACAGTACAGTACTATTCAGCTTTACAAAAGAATGAGTTTGAATGACAATAAGCTTAGCAGAGTTTCCAGCTCAAGATAGACAAGGAGAAAAGCCTGGCGATCACTTCTGAAAAACCAGCCAGGGAAACCCCATGAATCAGTCGTTCAGTTCATTTCTTCATGGTGTTGACTGGAGCTCGGGGCCACTCTGATAGTCAGTTAAAACCAACATATCAACATTAATGAAGTTTTAAAATGTTGAGTGGCTAAATTAAGTACAGAAGTATTTGTACTGTATTAACAGGTATGCAGAGCATACCATTATAATAATATATATCCCTATTATTTATGGATATATGTATAGTAACAGTATGCTGGGATAATAAGCACCCAGTTCTTAAGTGGTTATCTCTAAGAAAGGAGGTAGTAATTCTCTTTTGAATTTAGGGCAACCAGTGCCCAGGTTTACCTAGAACGGAGAGGTTTCCAGGGATGTAAGACTTACAGTGCTAAAAGTTGGAAAGGCCTGGCAAACTGGAATGGTTGACCAGGCTAAGTTTCACTCTTTTTCTTTGGTGAATTAAGAAAACAGTCACCTGCAAGGAGTGAGAAGAGGATGAAGGACATATTTGAGGTTTAAGGGGAAAGGAAGAGTGATGTAATTCTTTAAGAGTGGGAAAGCAAGTTGTCTAGGGTAATGCAAATGGATTTTTGAGCATTTCTAGAGATCTGCTTAAATCTCTCTTTAATAATGTCAAATTGATAGCAGTTTGTTTCTCATTTGTTTTGGTAGAGGCATTGACTTAAACACGAAGTTGGTTTTAGCTAGGGCTTGACTGTGTCAAGGGAAAGAGGAACAAAGAATGAGGCTATACCGTTGGGAATGATTCTAGTGGATGGATTGTTGAAATCTCAGGTTGGGTAAGAAATGAAAGGGGTGAAGATGAAGGACAATGTAGGAAATGATGAGAACTGTTGGATTTAACAAATTTCTGGAATTAAACTGGGAAGATAGGAAGTAAGAGCATGATATACTTGGAATTGTGGTTTTTGAGGTGAAGTAGTATTGGTAGTTGATAGGATCATGGGAGGAGTAGAGGGTTGAAGTGGGTGGGAAGAAAAGGTCATTGGGTATAAACCTGATCTCCACATATGTGATTGCAGTGATTAAGGCAGGCAGGCTTGGTGCACTTAAAAATAATCTGCTCAGTTATTTTCCTGGCTTCAAATTTTCCCTTTCTCTTTTTATAGGACCTCAGCTGAATGCACAGCTAGAAGGTTGGCTTTCGCAAGTACAGTCAACAAAAAGACCTGCTAGAGCTATTATTGCACCGTAAGTTTTAATATCTTTATGCAGAATCTTTCATATGTTTATTATGAATACAGAACGAACATCTACAAGTTGAACTAAGAAGTAAAAAACAAGTGCTATGTTGAGCTGAAAAAAATATAGTAGGTAATTTTCTTAATTCCAGTGCTCACTTTAACTTAAGGAGAAAGAAATTGGTTACTTTATTTACTTTGATGAAGTAACGTTAAAACTTACCTTGGTAATAAAACTGACTTTCAGAGTATAAAGTTGTTAAATAGATTGAAATTGGTGATTTCAGTGATAATTCCTATAAAATAAGTTCTATTTGAATTATTAAAAAGACCTATTTTAATCTAGACAATTTAAAATTTATAATGGAAAAATGTTTACACATGGCACAGTGTAACATGGAGCAGGATATTAGGGGTAGGGAAGATTCAATTTTTAATGGGAAAAATCTTCAATTATTTTGCCTTTGAGGGTGTTACAGCATTCACTTTTTAGAAGTACAAATTTAACATATACACAGTTAATGTGTTTATGTGTGTGTGTGTGTGTGTGAACCCAGTTAGTTTTGATATGATTCTTCATGTTATCCGTGAAAACACATTACCATGTTAACATTTTTCCTGAGACCAGTAATGGCTGGAGTTTGTTCCATTTCTCTCACAGTAACCATCTTTTATTTGATTTTTGAGTTCGTACTCTGTTGATGATAATAATAATGTAACCCCTTATTATTATTTTTTTTTGTAACCCCTTATTAAATAATTCATGTCAGGAATAAATGTTTGGCACCACTGGGTAAATGGGCAGGAAGGCCACATCTGACCTCCCCTGGCTTCTGCAGGGAGAAGAATCTATTTCCACGGCAGGCCAAGGCCAATTGGTACAAAGGAGATATCAGATATGCTTCTATCTCTCATCTCACTATTAACCTAATTCTAGCACCAGCTGTTCCTTTCAAGACACTCTCCTTTTCTGCTGGGTCTGATGTTTTGTTGCCGTGGCCACAGAGAACTCACAGATAATACTTGCAGCCATGGAGGTTTATTAGGGAAGTTAACAGGCTACCATAAGTCAGGATCAGATACATTAGGGGTTAAGAAAACATTAAGAATATAGGCATTGGTCCACAGCAACATCTCTGCGTGGTCAGCAGCCAAGTCTTTCTCTGGTACTTAGCCTCTCAGTCATGTGATCCCTTAGCCTCTGCCTCTGTGGACCCGGAAGCCCACCTGCCGCTCCATCTCAGTGTCTCGTGGTCTCCTTGTCTTGGCAACTGGTCTCACTGGGCTTGGCTCCTTCACTTTGTTCCATGATCTCCAGGCTGGTGCCTTTGATCTTGGCTTGCAGGACCATAGGCAGAGAGAGATCTTGGACATGCTCCATTAGTGGCCTTTCTTCTTTGATGGTTGTGGGGATTCTCTCTGTTCCTGCCTCAGAGATGGCTC